AGAGAGAGAGAGGGAGGCGGTGTATGTATGAATTACCACCGTTTTGCTGCATTTCTCTAACAGTGAAGCTGTGGCTTTAATTCCTTTAGAAACAATGATGTTACCAGCTCCTTGAGAAAGTTAATGTAGCTCTTGAGCGATTAAGCTATTTAGTTGATAAAATTGCAGGGCAGCGCTAAAAATTTTGTTCTTGAATGTCTGAGTGCGGCCGCAGCATGATCTGTGTGAGTGAATGAGCGTGTGTGCGTTATCCATGAAGATGGATGGACATACACGTTTTCTGCCCCCATATCTTGAATTTTGTAATCATTCTTAATGCATTTTAATAGACTGAATCACGCAGTGAAAGAACACACTCTAAATGTGCACGTGCACTGTTTAACCCATTAGACTGCATCACGTAATGTATGTGTGCACTCCGTAGGTGTTTTGTTAGGTTTTTTGCAAAATACTCGAATATATATATATATATAATCGCACACCCCTATGCCTAATATGTTTATGTAAACCAATATACATTTTTTCAGGCTATTAAAGTTAAAACGGTCAGAATTTATTTAAAATACCAATTTACTGTATATCATAACTGTCTTTACTGTCATTTTTGATCAATGTGATGTATGCTTGGCTGAATAAAAAGTATTAAACTTACTGACAAAACCTTTTAACGGTAGTGTATGAGCGCTTAAGTAAACAATAACAATTTTCACTTTTTGGTGAATCAACCTTTCAAAGGGTAAACGTGTGTGCATATGTCTCACCAGTTTGAGCTGAAGCAGAAGCTGGTACACATCAGCCATGTCCGCCAGTACAAGCAGATGAGTGACAGCAGAAAGAAGGGCACGTGCAGCACGGACCATGTTGCCTCTCTTCACTGAAGAACAGGGATCCTCTGCAAACTCTCCTGAGGCCAACTTCATGGATTCTCCTACAGAAAAACAGTCATACACAGAGTATGATTATTAGTTTTAATTCATCCTTTCATAGCCTTCATGATGCAAGAGTAGCAAGGTCAATGAAATGATCATTTCCCAATGTGGAAGTCAACATAACAGATAATTCAACATCTGAAGATGCAATTACTTCCAAAAAGGCCTTTTGAAATGCAAAAGACTGGGACCTAATTATTGTCTGTTATTTGATTAAAATCCGCTTCTGTTAATTGACCATGATCATACCATCCAAAGTCACTTGCAAGCAGTGTTAATTTTGACAGCAAATTTTGATTTAGTTTTAGTCATAGTCTTTTGACTAAAATGCCATTTAGTTTTAGTCATATTTTAGTCATCTGAAATGTTTTTAGTTTTAGTCGACTAAATATCATAAGATTTTAATCGACTAAATCTACAGTAAATTTAGTAGGCTAAAATATAATGGGTTTAGTTACAGTGCATTTATTAAGCATTTCTCTACAATTTCCAAACTCATTATATAGGTTTGATATTAAGGTTTTATCATGATTTAACTGCAGTGACACACAACATGCCTTTATGTTAAAATTAAATAAAACCACTTCTCATAAAGAACAAGAACATGGTCTTCTTTTTAATGAAATACCAATGGTATTATAGGCTAATTATGCATTCTTTATAGCAGCTTGTTTACCATATTCTTCATTCTTTCAAGAAGACATATTTATTTCTATAAATAAATTTAGATTAATCTTTAGGGCTACTAAAGTTTTTCAGTCAAGAGCAGTGCATGATTTTCTGTCTTTCTTTTGTTGCTTGATTAACATCAATGACTCGGACAATAGCAACTAAATTAGGCTGCTGTCCCTTTAAAACCGAATGCACAGCTGCAATGGATGCAATGTACTGATACAAGTTCTCCCAACTATTTATGTTAACTTAAGATGTAATCAACTGTGTTTACGTGAATACTCGTCAAAACGGACAATTCGACATCGTTTTGTGTGTAATTCTCCGCTAATGCGACGCGAAAGAGTACTCGCGCGCTGTGAGACGCGCTTTCTGTTTGTGTAGTATGCTTCAGTGTCTGCGCTCAGAAAATCGGACCGAATTGAGTTCTCTCTTGCGTCGTCAGATTTATCCATGTCTGCTCTTCTCTTACTCCCACATATTGACATTTTTGAACGTTTTATGTGACGTGCAGCAAGTGTATGTGAGCTTATGTCCCGCCGGTTCATATGTATGCATCTAACCTCCGAACCACGCAGCAGATTCGTTCTGAAATTGAATTAATCTCTTCCCAAATCATCCCTCCCTAACATTTTCGTCTCGTGTTTATTCGTTGATGAAAATGTCAATAGATTTACGTCATAGTTTTTGTCATTCAAATAAGAGTTTTAGTTAGTTATAGTCGGTGAAAAAAAATGTCGTTGACGAAAATTATTCATCAATGAAATTAACACTGCTTGCAAGACAACACAAACACATGATGTACAGGAGGTTCTTTAGTGGCAACCCGGCCTCACAAACCCAAGTAAACAATGAGCACGACAGGAGAACAACACCAATAATCCCCTGCAACAAAGGGCTACATGGTGAGCTGTGAGACTTAAACCAACAATCCAGGCGGTAGGTCTGATTCAGCCACCCTGCAGTCTGTCATAAGAGCAGAGCCAACCACTATACACAAGAACAACCACAAGGTGAAATATAGAGCTAATCACCAGGCCAGCGGGTTTTCATGTTCAAGGATAAATGCCAGTGGTTAGGGGGGGTGACGGGTTAATTGCATTAGGATTTCATTTTGTGAAATGCTAGATGGAGACGCAAGTCAGAAGCAGTGAAACATGGTGGTGAAAGCAAAAGCTCGATTCATGTCTACCCATAGCCAGAGCTCTGTGACACATGCTAGCACACCAAACGAGTCCTTTCAGAGAAGGTCGAGTCCCTGGGATAACACTGACGTCTTATCTGATGTGCCTGCAAAAGGGTGTCATCACTTGCCTTCACATCCCAGTTGGCTCATGTTGAAACCTTTTGAATGTGACAAAGCAGAGCATTTTAACAGCAGCTTAAAATACTGAAATGAATAAGCGCTGCCGTGCGACCACAAACCTCCTATTCGACAGTTTCAGGTTGTCAAATGCGTCGGCAAATGAATTGAACGTACTCGTGCAGATCTCCGCATCCCACTCAAGCCATACTTAAAAATAAAAAAGCCTGCAATGAACATGGCCAAGAGTGCAAGTAATGGCCAAAATCATAACTAGACTCGACTGAAATTGACTCAATAAAAAGAGAGAAAAATCAATTTGAGGGGGCAGTGAATAAGAGCTTTGTGCTCGAGAGGGGGTCTCATTCCTTCCTTTGTTGATGTTTGGAATCATGTGCACAGTGTTCCCTGGTAACAGGAAGCAAGTCTCACAGAATGACGGTAACAAGATTTTCTGGGTTATTGTGCAAGCGGTGGTTGCCACACACTGAATAGTATCTCTAAGAACCTTTCTATTTTTACCCATCACTTAAAAATAAATTCACCCCACCATATACCACACAAAAAGAACTAAGGTCTCCAAGACTGTCATTCCCTCCTGAGGGAGCAATCAATAAGACCATTTTCATGGGCCTGATAGTGATCAGTGCACCCATAATAAACTCACATCTATTACTTCTAAGGTAGCTCTCACAAGAGGACCACAGAAGCTTGTGATGAAATGTTGAAAGCGGATGTCTAAAGAAGGCACAATGAGCATCCAGATACCATGGAGGGAAGGCAGACGGCATTATCATTCCCAGCATCCTTCATCTGTCCCATCTAAAGGTGCTAAGCAATTAAAATCGGTTTCTACAGTAAATAATACACATTCTAGCCAGGAGACAAGCTAATGTTGCACGTATACATGCAGCAGACAATTCTAGAGCTGTTAGGGAGAAAACCGTTCAAGGATTCGATGGTTTCTAACGTGCATTATGCAACGATTACATTTGGCCGGCTCGCAGAACAGCTGGTAAGCCACAGCTGGGTACCGGGATCACTTTTCAATCTAGGGAAGCTTTAACCCCACTCAATGGTGGCATTATCAGTCGAACCACGCATGGTCGAGCAAAACTGCATAGCTGACAGTCTCCGCCACCAGCGAGCAACAGTGTCTGTATTCCACAGCCAATGACAGCATAGCAAAACCAATGTGACATTCCCCGGCATCACAGCAGTCGCTTGACAGATTTTACAGCTCAAACTAAGCCAATAAACACTGAGTGCCGAGTCTGAAACTGACAAAGATGTTATTCCAGCAAGTGATAAGTGGGTTGAGCCTGCACTCTGCATCTCAGAAGTGCGAAATGCCACACTAATTCCAGAAGAAGGGGGCATTCCGGCCAAGCAGGCTCACTCACTTTGAAAGAGAACGTATGGTGATGACTTTATGGCTACAGGTTATTTCTGTCACAAGTCAACAGACATGGGCTGAAGTCTTGCATAAGTAAAGCGTCGCCTTATACACATCTGACATCACCTTTGACAACTGGCAGACTCCATGTACATATGCAAGTTGTTTTGCTCGTTTTCTCATTCTTGGCAACCAAGCATAAATAAAAATATCTTAAAGGATCAGCGCAGCAAGTCAAGGCAAGCTGTTCGCTAATGAATGTGACAATCCCTCCTCAGCAGAGGGAGCATAGCCATATACCCAGGATAAGTTAGCAATCGGTATCAAAAATGCAATGCAAATTTACACCATAAACTGAAGGCCTCTAAACTCATGCTGATATGATGAGGCTACTGCATCTTATTTAAAGGGGTGGTTCATTGCGATTTCACTTTTTTAACATTAGTTAGTGTGTAATGTTGCTGTTTGAGCATAAACAATATTTGCAAAGTTACGAAGCTGAAAGTTCAATGCAAACGGTTATATCGTCTTTTAAAATTCTGGCAGTTTAATGCCTACAAAAACGGCTGGTAGGGACTACAACAAGTTACTTCCCGGATTTGTGACATAAAGTTATGAAGCTGAAAGTTCAATGCAAACGTAGATATCGTCTTTTAAAATTCTGGCAGTTTAATGCCTACAAAAACGGCTGGTAGGGACTACAACAAGTTACTTCCCGGATTTGTGACATCACAAACCCAGATAAACCCCGCCTTCGGGCAAAGGCAGCAAAGGGGGGCGATGCCATGCTGCGCTGCTTTAGAGAAGAGGAAGAGAAAACTAGAGGTGCACGTAAAAATCTGTTCATATATGAATCGCGATTCTGTCTTCTAACAATTCTAATGGATTCACAGGTTGCAAAATCAATGTTCAAAAGCAACGGTTCTCAATACTGTTCCTCGCGTTCCCCTGCTCTGCACACGCTCTGCATCTCTCTCCCTCATTCACCTCAGCTCCGACAATGAACTGTTCCAATTATACACTTATTTTCACATAGAACATAGGCCTACCATTAAAAGCCGTGCTTGCACAGGTTCTGCACGATCCTCTTCAATAATATCCTCTGCTTCTTAATCAGGCTCAAACTGATCAGCGATATTATCGATGCCGTTGTTTACAATACAATCGGAGCACATGCCGCTGAGGTGAGGGGCTGGATGTTTAGACGCACACTAGAGACGGTTGAGCCAATCACAACACTGTGCTAGCTAACCAATCAGAGCCCATCGCCTATTTCTGAGGGCGGGGCTTCATAAAAACAGGAAAAGATCAGCCCGTTTCTCAGAGAAGGGACAGAGCAGTGTGGAATAAAGGTAAATTATGTGAAAAATAATGCGTTTTTTAACAAACGAAGCATTAACACATGTTAGACTGCACCCCATAAACACAATCAAGCCTAGAAAAAA